AACCCTGGAAAGGCTAGATAGAATTCTAGTCACCTAAGAATAGCTTCAACTGTACTCGGACGCAATCAACTTTCGTCTACCCATAATTTCCTCTGACCATGGCCCCTTGAAACTCTCCACACACCCCTCTCACCCATGAAAACACTCACTATTCTACTATCAATCTTTTTGGACTAAACACCTATTATGTAAACAAGTCATCCAAGAATCATGGAATACCACTTCCCACTCAATACCCTCCAAACTCACAACGTGCAGACAAGCATTATCTCATTGGAACCGATCCCAGTATGGATACATCCATCACCTAGCAACCCTCGTCTCATAGATTTCAAATCTCCAAATGCAAACCCTCTCTCCTCTGGAGGCCCAGAAGTAAAATCAATATCACTATTGGCTGCAGAAGGAAGAACAGTTATGGCGATTCAAATCTATAGAATTGTGGCTCTAAGAAGGTGACAAGAACACCAAATATTTCCATCTCATGGCCAATCACAAGAACATTAAAAACAATATCACATGGTTCAAGGGCAATGATGGTCAATGGATCTCCAACAAAAAACAAATAGTGGAAATCGTCAAACAAGCCATTGAAAGTATAGGAGGAGAAAAAGAGACATTCAACCCTGCCTCCCTCTCCCAAATCAACCTCCCCAAAGTCTTAGATGATTAGGTTCAATCCCTCCTCTATCCTCCAACTGAAGAAGAAATATTCTCAATAGTTAAGCAGCTCAATCCGAATAAAGCACCGGGTCCAAATGGGTTCTCAGCCCACTTATACCAAAAGCATTGAGACATTGTGGGTAAAGACATTTATGAGATGGTGTTAAAATTCTACAACACAAGAAAACTCCCTGAGGGCCTAAATAACACCAATCTTGTGTTCATCCCCAAAAAGAATACCCCAATTGATGCTTATAGTTTCAGGCCAATAAGCCAGTGTAATGTCAGCTATAAAATCATCTCCAAATGGCTAACGTCTAAAATGAAAATCCACTCTACAAGATCTGATGTCATCCTTCCAATTAGGATTCTTAAAAAACCATCAAATCACAGACAACATTCTATTGTTTAAATAAATTCTTCAACTCATGAACTCATGAAAAAGGGGAAAATGAACTATTGTCATAAAGCATGACATGTCAAAAGCCTTTGAACGAATGGGATGTAAGTTTATTATAGGAGTTCTCTAGGAGATGAATTTTCCTATTAAATGGTGCCACTTGATCTCTCGGTGCATATCCACATCAATCTTTTCAGTCAAGCTGAATGGGGAGGCTCATGAGAATTTTCAACTTAACCGAGGCCTAAGACAAGGGGGTCCACTATTCCCTCTTCATCATAGGAATGGAGGTTCTAACACAACTCCTCACTCAAGCTCAAGACAGTCAAAATATACAAGGCATCCAACTCTCTAGAAATAATCCCCCAATCACCCATCTCCTTTTTTTGCAGATGACTGCATACTCTTCTGCAAGGTTGACCATAATCAAATCAAAGAACTTAACTCAGTCCTACAACACTTTGAATCTCTCTCAGGATAGAAGATAAAACACAAACAAATCCACCATTTCGTTCAGTGCCAATATTCCTAGACACCATATAAAATTCATTAACCACTACTTCAAAGTGAGACAATAATTAAGGGGTTCCAAATACTTGGGAGTTCGAGTAGGACTTACCAAAATCAACAACAACTCCTACAAGGAACTAAAAGAAAATATAATCTCAAGAATGTAGGTTTGGAGCACTAAATTTCTCTCTCAAGTGGGTTGCACAACTTTGATCAAGGCAGTAGTAGAGGCAATCCCTATATACCAAATGGCCACCACCATACTTCCTAAGAAAACACCCCAAAGCTTGGACGAATCAGCAAGAGACTTCTGGTGGGATACACATCAGAACGCCAAAATACATACCATCCCATGGCGAAAACTTTGTCTCCTCCCAAAGGTACAAGGAGGCTTGGGTTTCAGAAATAGCAGCCACATGCACAAGGCAGTATTTTCGAAATAGATTTGGAGACTTCTCACCTTCCCAAATAGCCTATGGAGCATCCATATGAAAACTAAATATTTCCCAAACTCAAGTATTTTTGTTGCTACAAATAGAGGTGGATCTTCTCCTTGGTAGAGGCACACAAGAAAACTACTCAGCAAGTCGGAATAGAACATCCTATGGTTGACAAAAGATGGTTCAAATGTAGCTATATTTAATGACCCGTGGATTCCTACAATTAGTGACGGGATCCCATCCCCAAACCCAAACCAACCCACACAACCTAATCTGATAGTCAAGAGCTCACAAGAGACATGCCTATCTGGAAGCTCACCAAGTCAGGTAGTCACACCGTCAGCTAAACCTACCACTTCTTCACAACAGAGGAGGCAACACCCTCAAGTACGTTTTTCAATTGGAAGATACTTTGGTAGCTCAAAATTCCCCATTGAATCCAACTATTCACATGGAAATTAATTTGGGATGGTCTACTCACAAGAGACAAATGCAAACACTGGCTTCCAACCATAGGTCTAGTGTTGTCTTCTCTACAACCATTCAATAGAGTCAACACACCACCTATTTTTTTCAATGTGCATTCTCATAGGTAGTCTTATGCGCAGCACGAGTCGGACTAGACCCAAGCAAAATTCCAAATCAATCCATGCACTTAGTCATACAAGCCTGGTATGAAAAACTCTTAACAGAGCTACAAATAGCAGATGCCCTCACAACACTCGGGAAAGGCATTATTTTGTTCTACTTAATCTGGGAAGCAAGAAACAAAAAGGTCCACGAAAACATAGAATCCACACCATCAGAAATCATTAACAAATGGAAAACTTTCCTCCCAATTCAACAATCCCAAGATCCACCAATACCCCAACCTCAGGAAAGTTTCAACCTAGCTAACTATTTCTCTCTTCAAATAGATGGCTCTTATGACATAGACATAGGAGGCGTAGGACGCTCTTTCATCATCCAATGAACACAAAGCCAACAAATTCTTTGCGAAGGAGCACCTTGCTAGAAGGCTTAGAAGGAGTTCGGCTTCAACCCAAGCATGTTGCATCCAGGCAACATTCGCGCATTCGGAGGACGCGCCACGTGTCCTCCGAATCGTGTGAGGGGCTGAAGCGTGCGAGAAGCCTTTAGCCTCATTAGTTACCACTATTGTTAGTCTAGGTTAAGGAAAATGCGAGTTTTTCTCCTCTCCTATCGCAGATGAACCTCACGCTCTCTCTCTCCATCCGCCTGATGATGACTGCACAACCATCACCACCGGTGACAAACAATCATCATCGATGGTGGGATCAACCTCAGGTATTGTATTTTTTGCATATCTTCTTCTTTGCATCTCTTCATCTTCCATCGCAAGCAATGAAGGGTTCACCGCTCATAGTGGTGCCAACGTTGTCACCACAAATCTGGCAGACCTGAATGTGCTTTGAAGTCTTTGGCTGAACAATCAAATGACATAATCGGTAAAACTTGGGGGAGAAAAGGAAGAATGAAATTTCAAGAACAAACTATTACTAATAGTGTAGAAAGAAACACAAAACTAATTAAGAACACGATAAGACAAAATTTCTGTGCAATGAAGATGTATTTCGCAAAACAACAAAGAAAGTGATGGATAAAGAGCAATAAACAAATCAGCCTATGCTAAACTACTAAAACTTCCATCAGATAAGTGAAGCACAATGTGAGACATTGAAATCTCATGACTTTGAAAACAGAGATTTTTATGCACCCAATGAATTCCAGAGCAAAGTGGATAGGGGGAACAATTCGAATACTAACCGCTGCCTCTCCTTTGGACTCCATTGGCGCTTGTTTCTCTTTAGCCAAGTGGGGTGATCAATAAGATAAACTGGTTAAATCTCAATGAGATTTAAGGATCATCGACACACCAAAGAGTCTCGGGTTTGCCTCTCACCACATGCAAAAAAAGCCTAGGAATTTGCTTTTGCACGTTCACTCTGAAAAACAGATTTATCAGATTTATCTTTTTCTTCCTGAAATGGTTCAATTCCAGTTCAGATATGCCTTGAAACACCTGAAAAAGATATACTAAGAATCACCTTTCCCCCTTCCATAAGTCTTCTCTTGCGGTCAATACATGAGGTTGATCCATCTCTGGTGATGATTGTTTGTCGTTGGTGGTGATGGTTGTGTAGTCGTTGCCGGGGGCGGATGGGGAGAGAGAGAGTGATGTTCGTTTGCGAGAGGAGATAAGCAAAACTCGTGTTTGAGTTCGACTTTAGTCCAGGCGGTGATGATTGTGTAGGCGCCGTCGGGCGGATGGGGAGAGAGAGTGTGACTACGTGAGGTTCATCACAAGAGAGGAGCAAAACTTGCATTTTGCTTAACCTAGGCTAACGGTAGTGGTAATTAACGGGGCTGAAGGCTTCTCGCACGCTTCAGCCCTTCACACGATTCGAAGGACATGCTACGTGTCCTCCAAATGCATGAACGTTACTTGTGTGCAGCGTGCCTAGACTGAAGCCGAACTCGTTTAGAAACAACTTCAACCCACAAGCTATAGATACTTAAAGACTCCAAGCAACCGATAACTTTTTTACAAAACCATGCAAAGCCCACATTGTGGATCGAACGCTTAATAACAACATTAATGAGAAGACTCAATCAAGTATCTTTTGTCTATGTAAAATAAATAGAGAAGAAAATAATGCAGCTCATACTTTTGCTCATGTGGCATGTAAATCTAAAATTACAGTCCGGTTCAACTGTAGACAAACCCGGCATGTAAACTTTCTATTTCCAAAGTTTGGTTTGGCTTGAAAAAGACCCCGAAAAATACTGTTACTGCAGTACTACGGAGTGCTGACGGAAGATACGTACCCGCAGTTTCTATTTTCATTGTAATCTTGTCTTTACTTTACTACCCCTGCACTTTTCTCCCTTTTTCTTCTTCACCATATATCTGTTCAACTTTAACAAGGGCAATTCGGATTTTCCGCTTCATTTGCCACAGTCTTTTAGCTCCTCGTTGGCTACTCAGTTCTTGTTCTCAGTTCTTCGCGCGTTCTCCTTGTTCTCACTTCTCCACTGAGCTGTTTTCACTCCTCTTCCCTGAGATATTGAAGATTGAAACCCCAAAGGAAAGGTTTGCCCGCGAAACCTTTTTCTTCGTAGAGGTGAAAACTAGAGAAGTTAGGCGATAAAAAAAATACATTCTCCATTTATTATTGTACTCGTGTTTTATATTTTGTTTCCTGCGAGAATAGTTGTTCGGCTTTTAGGGTTTATGATCTTTTAGCAGTTTAGAGTTTGGGGTTTATGGTCGCTTTTTAATTACTTAATTTATTTATTTTTTTCAAGATTGTCTCCTCTAAAGACCGAAAAGAAGATTGTCTCATCTAATGTCGGAGACAGACGCTATGGAAGATTCAGGGATTAGTAGTGAAGGCGAAGAGTTAGAAAATGGTAATAACATGGAGATAGATGAAAAAGGAGCAATGGGTATTAAGGAGAAGCTCAATTTGAGCGAGCAGTACCTGAGTAAGTTCTGTCGGGAAGCTTCAATGGCCTTCTTCAAGGAGTTTGGTTTGATAAGTCACCAGATAAACTCATACAACGACTTCATTGAGAACGGACTTCAGACACTCTTCGACTCCCTTGGCGAGATCAAAGTTGGTCCAGGGTATGATCCTTCCAAGAAGGGGGGTGGAGGGTGGAGGCATGCGTCCATCAAATTCGGGAAGGTGACAGTAGATAGACCGAATTTCTGGACGGGGGAGAAGTTTTCGTCTGAGAAGAGCGACAAGGAATATCTGAAGTTGTTGCCGAGACATGCTCGACTTCAGAACATGACCTATTCAGCTAGGCTGAAGGCCGAAGTTAGAGTTCAGGTAAGCAGAACCTTTTTTTTTTTCACTCGCAAAACTTGCAAAATTTGAAATCTAACCTTGCATGTCTCCAGTATGGTAGGCTAGCTACAGGAATTCCACAGTTATGCTTTAATTGTTTAATGAAGAAATGGGGTTTCCCTTTCTTTATTTAGTTAGCTATGATTCTATGAATTCATTTCTTTGAATGCTTCACCTTACGGAACTGGAAATTTAATGCCCCTACAAATCTTTGCCCTCGCAAGTAATCCTTGCAAGAATATGTACTGGTGGTGAATCGTTGTAGACTTAATGAAGGCAATTCTTAATACTGTGAGAATTAATAGGGACAAATCTGCATGGATTCAGATAAATCAGTTTCATGATTTTGCTAATCTGCATGCGATTGATCTCAAGCAGATGAGTTGTTTTCTGATATTCTTGGGGGTAATTTAATAGGGAAAGAAATTTTGGTGCTTTCAGATTATTTTTGACCTTCCAACCAAAATTGGCGATATAAGCTGAAATTTCGAAGCTAATTCAATTCTACATTATTTTTTTTAGAAAAGATAACGGATTTCATTAAGATCAAAAAAGGGGAGGGATGTACACGAGGAGATGTACAAAGCCTTGTCAACAAAAAAACAAAAGACAAAGCCCACTACAATTGCAAAGTATGATCACTATACAAAAAATCCCTTCCCAGCCCAGATTTAGCTAGATTATCATCCACATGGTTTAATTCTCTAGGAATCCATCTGAAGCTGCACTGTAAGTAAGAGGCCAGCTCCCTGATTTCTAACAGCAAATGAGAAAGTTTCCACGGGTCCAAAGTCTTTCCTGAAGCCCAGCTTATAACATTCCTTGAATCTTCTTTGACTGCAATGAAACAGAGCTGATGAGATTTGGCAATTGCGAGGCCTTCCAGGAGGGCCCTAGCCTCTGCTTCAGACGTATCAGCCGCCTTTGCAGGGCCACTAAAGGCCCAAGTCACATCTCCATTCAGTCTTTGGATCCAACCTCCTATTCCAGCATTTGGGCTGTTCTCTGTAGACCTCCTAAAGCTGCCATCAAAATTTAGAATGAGCTCACAATCTTGTCTTGGGGTGATTTTCAGGGGAGGCTGAGGGTGAAAAGGAGAGGTTGCAGAAGGGCTGTCCAATCTCTTTGTATGTCATTCTGATTGATACCCTCAAACACTTTACTATTCACCATCCAGCTGCTAATGTTAGCTAGGATACGATCTCTAAGAGTCTCCAAGGAGGAGTAACTCTCATCAAATAATCTCCTATTTCTTTCCTCCCAGATATTCCACAAGACAGCATGTACAATTACTTTCCAGAAATAGTTTCCTCTCTTGCCCGAAGTCAACTTTAGACCTTGCCAAGAGTTGATATACTCTATAACAGAGTTTGGGGGAGTCCAATTAAGCCTGCCCCTAACTGCTGAATCGAGGAAGAATTGCCAAAGATTTCTGGCAACAAAAAAGTTAAAGAAAAGGTCTCCAATAGATTCTCCATCCTTATGGCACATCAGGCAAACAAAAGGAGAGATACAGCGGTGTCCTTGAAATCACTTTTGGAGGTTGTCACAGGTATTCAGCTTTGAGAAAGAAGCCTCTCAGACCATAAAAGAGACTCTAGGTGGGACTATGGGGAGCCAAATCTTTTTGCCTGGAAAAGGTTGGGAGGGGGGGGATGGGATGTTGGTTAAGTGCTGAAAGAAGGAAGAGGTAGGAGCCATGTGTGGTTAAGGATCAAATAAGATTGTCCTCAGTGGAGAGGGAGATGAAAACTTCTGAGAGAAGGGAGAGTAAAGAAGTGATCTCAGGTACTTCCGAGTCTATCAGCTGTCTAAGAAAGTCAAAGTTAAAAGCGAGGCCCCCCTGATCCTCTTATTAAGGTAGCAAAAATGAGAGCTTGTTTGTCATGCACTAGCCTAAAGAGAGAGGGGAAGGCTTCACGAGAGGAATGTTTCCCCACCAAAGGTCTGTCCAGAATTTAATAATGTTTCCATTTCCTACTTTCAATCTAATAAGGGGAGAAAAGGAAGCAAAAGAATGGTGGATACCTTTCCACGGATTTTGCGAGGAATGAGCTAGTAAAGGGAGAGAGTTGCCCCATCCCCAATTGCTTATACCATATTTTCTGCGAATTACAGAGGCCCACAGAGAGTTTTGTTCTGTTTTGAACCTCCAAAGCCACTTCCCAAGGAGAGCCTGATTTCTTTTTGAGATGTGACCCAACCCTAATCCCCCTTCTTTCCTTTCCTTGCACACAACTTTCCAATTTACTAGGTGGCAGCCTTTCTCTCCTCCTCCCTCCCATAAGAAATCTCTTTGGATTTTTTCCAATCTATTTCTGATCTTAGCAGGAACTTTGAAGAGGGAGAGGAAGTAGGTGGGGAGATTTGAGAGTGTGGCCTTGATGAGGGTTAGTCTACCACCTTTGGAGAGATAGTTTCACTTCCAAGTGCTTAACCGTCTCTCACATTTCTCAATGACAACATCCCAAAAACTTACAGATCTCGGGTTTCCCCTAAGGAGGATGCCCAAGTATGAGAAAGGGAGAGAATCCACCCTGCAACCCAAAGCATCCTTCATGTTTGTCATCAGCTGAGGAGGGGTATTGATGCCTATGATACTGCTTTTCTCTAAATTTGTCTTCAGCCTGTTACTGCTCCAAAACATTTCAAGATCCTCTTGCAGTTTAAGAGGAAATCTTTTTTTTTTTTTTGCTTCAATAAAGAAAATGGTATCGTCTGCATATTGATGGCGAGAAATTTGGATATTCTCTTGCCCCACAGAAATACCTTTTATAAGATCACATTCTAAGCCTTTATCATGAAGGCATCCAGAATGTCTGCTACCAAAGTAAAAAGGAGAGGGGAGAACAGGCAGCCTTGCCTTGAGCCTCTGGAAGTTTTGAAGTAATCAACTTGTAAAGAGATTGGGCCGAATGGGCCCTAGCATCTTCTCTTGTAATATCTTTTATTTTATTGTTGGCTAATGGGCCTCTCTTAATGGGCTTGTTATCTCTCTTTGTTTAATCTCTTTATGTTACTGCCTAGCTGGCCGCCCACTTAAGGGCATACTTGTCATCACTCTATTTTTAATACTTAATAAAAAGGGTTAGAGGAGAAAGGAGAACAAATTCGACTTCTTCTCTTTCCTTCTCTTTTCGCCATCTTCTTCTCTTGTATTGCTGCTCTCACTTCTATTCTTCCTTTCTTCTAATCTTCAAGTTTACACCTAAGATTTGAGGACTGATTTGCATCTTGGTATCAGAGTAGGTCGATTTCTTCTTCCCATACACCCAAAACCCTAGCCGACAGGTGTATGGAGAGATAGGTTCTCTAATAGTACAGAGGATCTCTGGCCTAGTTGGTAGAGGGTTTGGAGAGTTTAAATCTGGTTGGATATTGCCAAGAAGCGGTGCTGTTTTGTTCTGCCCGAAACCCTAGCTGATTAGAGATTTTCGAAGGTACCAGGTAAAGGTGATGCTTGGGGGTGGCACTCTGTGCTTGGGAGGTGTCTTGTGACTTCTAAAGGAGGGCGGTTTAGGTTTGGAAGAGTTTGGGAAGGTCTGGTAGGAGCGGCTGCATCTTCTCTCTTCCTCCCCAACAGCTGGACGGAGCAAAACCCTAGTTTTCAAGCAACTGAGTTCTGGTTTGACTTCAAGTAAGTTTATACAGACAAAATTTCTGGTTCTTTGATTTTCGTTTGATTGATGGAGACATACGGAAGTGAGTTCAAGCAAGTGCCGATTTCAGGCCTTGGCTCGGTAGATTCCATTTTGACTGGTGTAACCTCAATCAAGCTAGATGGGACAAATTATCTTTCTTGGGCACAGTCTGTAAGAATTTATGTTTGTAGTAGAGGAAAACTCGGGTATCTCACAGGTAGTAAAGTGAAACTCGAGGAGACTGACCCTGAATTTGAAAAATGGATGCAAGAGAACTATATTGTCATAGGATGGTTGGTCAATTCTATGCAACCTCATATAAGTCGGCACTATCTCTGGATGTCTTTGGCTAAGGAGATATGGGACAGTGTTACTGAGACCTATTCAYAGAARTTGAATRTAGCCAGAGTMTATAAGTTGAAAAGTGATGTGAAGAACCTAAGACAGGGGGAGAAGAGTGTAGTAGTCTACTACTCTATATTGAAATCCCTATGGTAGGAAATTGATGTTATGGAGACAGTTTTATGGGAGAGTAAGAATGATGTTGAAATGTATAGAAAGTTGGTGGAGAGAAATAGGGTTTTTGAATTTCTCACTGAACTTAGGCAAAATATCTTGGCCAGAGATGAGGTTACTCTTTCACAGGCATATGCTATGATAAGTAGCGAGGAGAGTAGGCGGCAGGTTCAGTTGCAGGGTCCACCTACAGAACATTTTGCACATGTTGGAATAAAGCAAAAGGTCCCTATTAAGAAAAAGGAGCAGATATGTGAATATTGCAAGAAACCGAGGCATACAAAGGACATTTGTTGGAAGCTTCATCCTGGGCTTCTCCCTGATAGGTTTAAGAATAACAACTCTAAGAAGGGCAATCAGGTGGGAAAACCTAAAACAACTAATGTTGCTACAGTACCTGAAGGGGGAAATAAGGAGAGTGAGGAGAAATCAACCATTGAGCAGTTGGCAGCAATGAAGGCAGATTTTGAAAAGTATGGGAGGCTCCTAAATCACTTGGAAGCTACGGTTTCTTCAGCTCACCCTTCCAACAACACATCATCTTCATCAACATTTGCTCACTCAGGTATTCGTGCTTCTGCAAATCATGCTTCAGTTTCAGGTAATCATAAAATTCCTTGGGTTATTGATTCCGGTGCATCAGACCATATGACCAGCCTGTCTAATCTCTTCTGCTCATACCACMTTCTCTCTGGWAAAGAGAAAATATCCCTTGCTGATGGGTCTCTTGCTCCCATCTCTAGTAAAGGGGATATAAAGCCCTCTAACACCCTTTATTTATCCTCTGTCCTTCATGTTCCTAAACTTAACACAAATCTTTTATCT